TGATCGAGTCTAGCGAGATCTCCTGTTTTGTAACATCGTTGTCCTCGTATATCAATTAAAGCCTTCTTTGACAAGTCATCACGACCATAGTAACCGGAGAATACACCAGCACCGCCGATATACAGCTCACCTAGCTGATTAATGCCAACTAATTGTAAATATTCATCGAGAACGTAACATTGATAATTTGGCATAGGTCGTCCTATCGGAATTGATGCTGAATGCAAATCCTCTGGAGTTAGGACATGGTATGTTGCTGCTATCGTACATTCAGCCGGGCCGTATAGGTTGATTATTCTGCAGTTTGGCTCAACATGTGGTAGGAATTTTCTTAGTGGCTTTGATTTCATAGCTTCGCCTAAAGAGATCGCGGTAAAAGAGAGCATCAGACTGCGTACTGCAATCATCCGTGTTTGTGTCTCCGTAAATATCGTTATCTTCGGTCGCTGTGAAACTCATCCATGTCCCCCGCAGAATGTCTGTATTTTTGTTTGTTATTCTAACATTTACATGTTTTATTTCACGATAATGAGACACAGCCACATTCTTCAGTGAAGTGCTTTTGCTGACGGTCGCACAAGCGCTTTTCTGTGGCTGATCGAGAGATGATGGACCTTATGGGCCTTACTATTTAGTTTCTCTGCTGGTGATAGACGACAGGCGCTTTTTTTTATAGTTTTAATCGAAGAAGAATGCCAGCTTTTGAAGTCCAAAAATGGTCCCCTGCTTAGGAGTTTATAGCTCTATCTTTTCTTTCTAACCAGGGTCGCAATCGCACCAGCGGTCATTTCGGAGCACGAATTTCAAAACTGTATTGTCTAGATGGTGGCTCTTTGCGTAGAGTTAACTCGTTATGAACGACTTGCTCCTTCTAAGTTATAAGCGACCGCTAAACTGCACTTGGTACGCCCGAACTTTTCCCGAACTTTGTTCGAGGGGCGAATTAGATTGCTTGAAGTGTGCAGTAACTTTCAGGATGATATCAAACCCGCAAAACTACTTTTCTTTATTTTAGTGTGACAATAGCTCTGTTTGGGATGCGTGGACTGGTCTCAGATCGGTATTAGACATTTGTTCCATACCTTCAGAACAGACACTTCTCAACGTTACGAGAGAACCAGTATGACTATTCCATTGCAAATATTCGGAGATGAGTTGCATCATTGTTGGAACAAAGACGGCATAAGAAACCATTTTATTCTTGATAACACTTGAAATATAATGCATGTCAAGATTACCATGCGGATGTAGCATAATCAGAGTTCCACTGATAGTTATAGGTGATAACAACTCTCGTAAATGAACATCGAACGAACAAGCCGCAATTTGAATGACATGGTCTACTCTGTCCAAAATGTTTAAAAGCCTCAGTCCCGATATATGCGCAGTAAAGTTTTCATGACGTGTTTGTACCTAAAGAAACGAGAAATAAGAAGTAGTTTATCAAGGAATATATGAAAAACTATGCCACTATAGAAGTTCAAAAAGCAAGATATAACTTCTTCTGCGTCCTTCGTGATTCGCTTTTTAATTAAAATGGCTTCTCGGTATTGCTGTTATTAGAAGGTTCCAAAATCAAGTCGGAACATCCTGTAGTTCAGCACTTACCGCTTTCGGACGTCCAGTTGATCCCGATGTAAATATCACATAAGAAACATCTTCCACAGTCACTTGCACATTTGACAATA